TGTTAACATTAAGGGAAGTTGGATGAAGGGTACACAGGAACTTTAAAAAAGATTTATTTAAATTAAATTGTACAGACAGGGTTTCATCATGTTGCCCAGGCTGGTCTTGAACTCCTGAGCTCAAGTGATCCACCCACCTCTGCCTACCAAAGTGCTGGAATTACAGGTGTGAGCCACTGCATCTAGCTAGGAACTCTCCATATAGACAGGAACTCGCTGTAACTCTTTTTGTGCATTTAAAATGGAACATTTTTTTAAAAGTTTTAAAAATCTGGACAGCTTTACAAAATGTGGATATTTGATACTCCTGCCCTTGGAACTCTGACTCAGCAGGTTGGGGGTGGCTCAGAATCTATCTATCTATCTATATTTTTTTGAGACAGCATCTCTCTCTGTTGCCTAGGCTGCAGTGCAGTGGTGCAATCACAGCTCACTGCAGTCTCCGCTTCCTAGGTCAAGGAATCCTTCCACCTCAGCCTCCTGAGTAGCTGGGACTATAGGGCTCGCACCATCACGCCTGGCTAATTTTTTATATTTTGTAGAGACAGGGTCTTACCATGTTGCCCAGGCTAATTTCAAACTCCTGGGCTCAAGCAATCCTCTTGCCTTGGCCTCCCAGTGTGCTGGGTGTAGGAGATCAGTCAGAGTGGTGGGAAAAATTATAGGAAAAGAACACAAATCTTGAAAGGTCAGAGGGTTTTGCAAAGCTCCAGGGGAGAATAAGCTGAAGGTAGCTGTTCTCTTACCCTGAGGCAGAGGCCAAGGAGTAGGTGCAAGGTAGTGTAGGGGAATTTATCTAAATAGGTTTGTTTATTTATGTTGTCAGGAAACCAACCTTTGATCATTCCCACTGGAGATTGCTCCCTGTAAGGGGGAACAATAATGTTAATTACCCACTGTTTGTATTGGCTCCAGGCTTTATGTCTGTACTGAATAAAAGCAAGCAGCTCCAGCTGTTCAGGGCTGCGCTCTCTTTGGCCATTAGTGCCGGCAGCCCCAGGCCCCGCAACGAGGGTTTGTGGGATGAACCTGGCAGCTGGGATTATAGGCCTGAGCTACCACGCCCAGCCTCTCTATTTTTAAAAATCTACTGATTGGCTGGGGGTGGTGGCTCGTGCCTGTAATCCCAACACTTTTGGAGGCCCAGGTGGGTGGATCACTTGAGGCTGGGAATTTGAGACCAACTTGGCTAACATGGTAAAAACCCCATCTCTACTAAAAACTTAAAAAATTAGCTGGGCGTGGTGGCGCGCACCTGTAACCCTAGCTATTCTTGAGGCTGAGACAGGAGAATCGCTTGAACCCGGGGGTTGGAGATTGCAGTTAGCTGAGATTGTGCCACTGCACTCCAGCCTGAGCGACAGAGGGAGACCCTGTCTCTCTCTCTCACACACACATACAAAGCTACTAATGTTATTTTTATTATCAGTGCAATTTGATTTGAGGACCAGTGGACAAACCAAGAGTGCAGGAAAAAAATCAATCTCATTTTTCCCTAAACTATGCATGTGAGATTAGCCATCGTTAATTATGACTTTTTTTTTTGAGACAGAGTGTCACTCTTGTTGCCCAGTCTGGAGTACAATGGCGTGATCTCAGCTCACTGCAACCTCTGTCTCCCAGGTTCAAGTGATTCTCCTGCTTTAGCCTCCTGAGTAGCTGGGATTACAGTCACCTGCCACCATGCCTGGCTAATATTTTGTATTTTTAGTATAAGAGATGGTTTCACCGTGTTGGACAAGCTGGTCTCAAACTCCTGACCTCAGGTGATCCACCTGCCTCAGCCTCCCAAAGTGCTGGGATTACAGGCGTGAGCCACTGCAGCTGGCCAATTATGACTTTTAAAAGGAAAATATGGCCATTAATTTCAGGTCATGAACCAACACATTAGCGACATCAACTACCTCTCTCCCTTTTAGTCTCTTACCCTTGGCAACCTCCTCCAATTGTTCATGGTGTTTTGGAACAGAGTGGTTGGTACCTAATGTGACAGTGGTCACTTAATTTTCATTAGGTAGATGGCCTTGGGGCCCAAATTTCCATGGCTTGTTCAAAGGGAGGAAGCAAAGGAACTGAACAAGGAACTGACTTGGGCTCAGGACTATGCATGTAGGCCTCCATAAAAACATCTGAATGAACACAGAGTCCACTGTGGTCAAGAAAGACAAAAATACTTGATGTGCTGTACCCCAAGCTTCTGCCATCAGAGACAGGTTGAATTTGCTTTTATTTGTCTACTCTTAAGAGCCATGCTTTATTTTGCTCAGAGAATAAAGTATAGCATTAATAAACACTAGTGTCTAAATCACTTTTGCAGATGGGAGAGAAATTACTAGTTCCTTAGGTTTCATATCATCATATAAACTTTTTTTTTTTTTTTGAGATAGGGCCTTGCTCTGTCATTCAGGCTGGAGTGCAGTGGCATGATCACAGTTTACTACAGCCTCAACCTCCCAGGCCCCAGGTATCCTCCCACCTTGTAGTTCCAGTAGCTGGAACTACAAGTGTGCACCATCACGCTTTGGTAAATTTTTTTTTTTTTTTTGACATCGAGTCTCACCCAGGCTGGAGTGCAGTGGCATGATCCCAGCTCACTGCAGGCTCCACCTCCTGGATTCCAGCAATTTTCCTGCCTCAGCCTCTTGAATGGCTGGGATTACAGGCGTGTGCCACCACACCCAGCTAATTTTTGTATTTTTAGCAGAGATGGGGTTTCATCATTTTGGCCAGGTTGGTCTTGAACTCCTGACCTCAGGTGATCGTCCCACCTTGGTCTCCCAAAGTGCTAAGATTACAGGTGTGAGCCATCATGTCCGCCCTGGTTAATTTTTGTATTTTTTGCAGAGATGGGGTCTCACTATGTTGCCCAGGCTGGTCTCAATCTCCTAAGCTCAAGCGATCCACCTGCCTTGGCCTCCAAAAGTGCTGCGATTACAGGTTTTGAGCCACCGTGCCAGGCTGTGAGATGATCATAAATGAACATTCAGTGGTGTCGCTCCTATTTTACAGTAGAGGAAATGAGTGCAGAGAAGTTAAATAATTTGCCTAGGATGGCACTACTAGTAAGAAGCAAAGCTGGGGTCCAGATCCAGGCAGGCTAGGATCCAAAGTGCATATTCTTTGAGTGACAGTATTCTTCACTGAACGTGCTGAGTTGGGAGTGTGGGGACTTTGCAGTGAGGAATCTTTTAAGAAACTGGTAATGGGCCGGGTGTGGTGGCTCAAGCCTGTAATCCCAGTACTTTGGGAGGCCAAGGCAGGTGGATCACGAGGTCAGGAGATGTCGACCATCCTGGCTGACATGGTGAAACCCCATCTCTACTAAAAATACAAAAAATTAGCTGGGCGTGGTGGTGTGTGCCTATAATCCCAGCTACTCGGGAGGCTGAGGCAGGAGAATTGCCTGAACCCAGGAAGCGGAGGTTGCGGTGAGCCGAGATCACGCCATTGCACTCCAGCCTGGGTAACAAGAGCAAAACTCCATCTCAAAAAAAAAACAAAACTGGTAATGATGGATGGGCTTCTCTGATTGGGACTGCTCTTATTTCTGGTTATGACTGTAAAATATGGTTAAATATGGGTAAGTTCACTCAAATGCCTCAGGGTTAAAAGTGCCTGGGGAAGTATGGGGTCAATGAGGTCCAAAACCATGACCTAGAAGTCATCTTGTCCTAAGTATTTTACTACTTGTAAGATAGCCAAACTGTACATGAGGTGGGGGATCCTTCTGGGAGATAAAGCATAGTCAGAGCAGAGATCTATTATATGGGTCTCTTCTTTGATAGTGGAAGGAAGCTACCTTTACGTCCTCAAAAGGCCCCAGTGTGCGGTATTTCCTCGAGGAAGAAGGAGCATCAGATTGTTACAAGAGAAGAGATCTTTCAGCCTGTGGCAGAACTTCCCTTTATCCCATTCGCGGATCAGGTTGCCCACGATGCAGGCCTGCCATGAAACACATCTGAATGAGCACGCAGAGTCCATTATGGTCAAGAAACAGAAAAATACTTCGTTATCATGTACGTTAATTATTTCTTAAACCTTGGATTTAAGCAACACGGGGGCAGGCCTGCTTTTGGGGCCTGTGTTAACCCCACTGTGCTCCAAGCCCTGAGAAACAGTGCAGCCCACAATCCCTTCTGCTTTCCCCAGCAAGTGTTGTCTTCTAAGGACTCCTCTCAGTTCCTGAATTTCACGTAACTGCTACCGAGGTTTTACCAGTTAGAAAAATGTCCAAAATAGAATAATCCAGAACTGGGGATGGTGGGGTGAGGAAAGTATTCTTTGTCAAGAGACCCACATCACGCACAGTGAGAGTAAAAGAACAGGCTGTTTCAGTGGCGAATAGAAGTTGTGGACTAATTTCAAAGCAACGGAAGATTCAAGGATCCGCTATATAAGCGCTCATACTTGGCAAATCGCATTTCTCCGGTTCAGGGCACAGCGAATTCCTCCAGTGCACAGGAAAGACTGCCCTACTAGAGTCAGCTGCGGTGTGGGCACTTTCGCTGACAAGCTTCAACCCTTGAAGTAGGTGGATGCTCCCAGGAGAACCCTAATGTCCGAAGACCACGACGAGTTGGGTCGCGAGAGGGGCGAGACCTCGGGCCACGGGGCGACAAGTGCAGTGTCGCGTCGCTCGCAGGAGCTGGGCGGTGAGGAGCGCCAGGGCGCCAACTTCGCTTTCAGGCCTGAGGGTTCCGCAGGGCGCGCGGTGCTGTCAGTCAACGCCCTCGGCCCGCCCCCGCCGGAGCTCCGCCAATCGTAGCCGGGGGTCGGAGGTGAGACGACGTCGCTGGGTGAGGAAGCGGTGGGGGGGCGGTGGCTAGCGGCCTGGTGCAGCCGCTACCGAGCCTTGCGTCAGGATCCTTGGCCCCGGGACAGCGAAGGGGTGGGGCGGGTCCCGGAGGTGAGTGCGGGATGCAGTCTGCGTGTGGGCGCCGGGAGGGGCCGCTGCGGGCGGAGCGACCCATTGCCCGCCCTCTCTAGCGCACTCCTTGGCTGCGAAGCCCTCCTCCGCGCGCATCAGCTCCCGCGTCCCCAGCCCCGTGCGGAGGGTGCAGCTCCGGGGTCGTGGCCGGGGGCGAAGAGGCCAGGGAGGGGAGGCCCCGGTCGAAGGCGTAGGCAGTACTGGAGCCCTGGGTTGCCACAGCGTCGCAGCTGGGAAACTGGAGGCGAGGCGGGTACCGGCGGGGCGGGACGGGGCGGGGCCGGGAACGAGCATCTCCATCCTCAGTTTCCTCGGCTTGCCGCAGCGCCACTGCTTGGAATCCGGACCTCCACGCGGCCGGGAAAGGCTCCTATCCCCCGGGCACTGCCGCTAACCCGGTGCAGAGCACTTGGCGACGTCTCGCTGCCCGTCTCACGTTTCTCGGCTCATCGCTGCTCTGGGCACCAGCTGCCTCTTGGCAGGCGCTGCTGTCACACGGTGGACTGTTCTGGCCTTACTGAGCTGCCGTTTGGGGACATCAGATTCAGGTCGTATGGGGAGAAAGGAGTGTAATTTTGCAAAGTGTGATATGGAGACCCTGGCCCGTTGCCCATTTCTGCCTGATGTAAGGCCAACTAGGGTGGTGATAAGAAGGGTTCCGAGGCAGGATTTGTGCAACATTTATGTAAAATTGTAAATTTTCTTTGCTTTCCATTATCTACGGAAAAGGGGGATTGTGGCCACATATCTTAAAGATAAAGAATCACACTGCTCTGGTGGGGCTCCCCTCCTCACTGTGGTTAATTATCATTTGGAACATTAGGCTATATTGGAAACTGGCAGGACTCCCAGACCCGGATAATTGTCTGAGTGGAGGCAGCAGCATACAATTTCTCCATAGTGTTTAGGTTCTGCTTTTCTTTTCTTTTCTTTCTTTCTTTTTTTGGTTTCGGTTCACAGTAAAAGGTTCTGCTTTTCTTTGACTTTCTTAGTATTTTTTTTTTCCCATGTCTATTACCCTCACAGTCTCTGGGGCTGATAGAGTGCTGTTATTTGTTACTGAGAAAGGAAACGAAGGGGTAAATCACAGAAGTGGGGTCGGCTGTCCCTGTTGCCCTGGAATTGGGTAATTCAAACATCATTTTGAAAAGGTCATCCTTTGACCAACTGAAACAAATAACACCCCCTGGTCATTCTCTACTAGTGGTTCTCCTGCTTGGCCGTATGTTGTAATCATTTAGGGACCTTAAAAAAAAGCTGCTTCTTGGGCCTATTCCCACAGATTCTGATTTGATTGTTTGAGTGGGGCCCAGTTATTCATATTCTTAAAAAGCTTCCACGATGATTATTATTGTTCATGCAGGGCTGAGGACTATAACTTCTCAATGTGTTCAATATTTAAAAAATAGCACTTAGTATGGTGTGACTTACATAACTGATTTTATTACTTCTCCACCTGCCATGTAACCTCCATGAATACATGGGGCCCTGCTTTGGAAGAAGGGCAAGGGAAGGTCCAGGTGAGTCAGCACTTTGGGCACGTGGGGTTGGAGGACATGAAGGAGAAGTGGCATCTGTGGAAACAAGTCTTGTAGACTACTGTCCCTGCTTCATCTTTTTTCAAGGATTGACCCCATTTGGTTAACCCATCATTGTTGTGGTCCTGGATGGGTCTCCAGTTCTTCATTCTGTAGATCCTGCCCTGTTTCATGGTCTTACACTGCATCCTATGAAATACAGCTACTCTGCAAAGTTTGAAATATAAGCCTTTAAGTGTAGATATTTTTCCATGTAAATCTGTGCTTTTTGTCTCTTACTGTTCTTCTAAACTATGTATTCTGAACTAAAGTTGCTCTGACTAGTACAATTACATTTATGTGGCTGACAGGTGAGACTATTTAGGATAGAGACTGCCTCAGAAACTGGACAGTTCCCATGCAGTTGTCCTCTAATATGTTGTCTTTGCGGAATGGTTGCCTGAGAACATTAGCTCCCCAGGGAATATAGGTTTGCTGTCTAATTTTCATTGTTTAGTATTGAATTCAGGAATTTCGTTTGTGTTACTGACAATTGTAAATCTAAATGATGTAAACAACCACTTTGTAATTCTCTTGTGAGATGGGGTAGAACCCTAATGGCAATCTAGTATTATTGTCACAGGCCATAATGAAATTAGATTGGCCACTGTGAGTCTTGGATATGGAAGTAGGTTTAATAAAAATTTGGCAGAACACTTCCAACAAATACAGGGTTCCACCTGTAAGGCAGAACATGCATTTAACTTTTTGCTTGTCCTTTGCACATATTAATAAAAATAAAGCATGAATAAGTGGTGGTCTGACATTTGAAAACACGATCACTCAAGTTTAGATTCCTTGAATTATAACTTTTAGATCTGTACAGGTACTTATTTTTTTTCTGTAGAGGAAAACAAGATCATTGAATCATTGAGCTACATAATTATAATAGTTTTTAAGTAAAAAACATTTGGAGCTTTTATCTTTGGTTTCTATTTTTTTCACTTATATTGCTATTTATAAAGTTTTGAACTTCAGCCAAGGTCTGAGAGTGATTTGCCAGTTTGAAGTTAATGTATTTAAATAGACAATTACTATTTCTTATTAGTAAGGAAAAGGAAACATTCCTATCCCCACTCCTTCTACTGTATCATATATAACTCTGCCTGTAAAATTTTACTCTTAATTTCTACTATGTTTTTTTACTTCATTTTCAGTATCTTTAATCTTTGTATCATATACATATTTCCATTGCAGCAAGAAGAATGATATAAAAATGAAAAAAACATTTATGTGTGTTTCAAATGTGGCATGAAGAAAATAAGGACTGCTGGTCAAAATTGCCTCAGTTCAGAATTTCATGCTAGAAGGAAAGGTAGACATAACTTCTAATTTCTAGTTCCAGTAAGCGTCTCTTCTTGGAAAATTTCCAAAAAAGGTAAATTACATTGAATTATATATTTTTACTTTATTGGTTAATCTGAGAAACTTTGGAATCATTCCCTGCCAACACTGTTGTTTTTACTTGATTTTAAGGCTCCTTTCAAATAGCTTTCTTGTTATAATGCGTAGGTTTTTTGTTTTTTTTTTTTTGAGACGGAGTTTCGCTCTTGTTACCCCGGCTGGAGTGCAATGGCGCGATCTCGGCTCACCGCAACCTCTGCCTCCTGGGTTCAGGCAATTCTCCTGCCTCAGCCTCCTGAGTAGCTGGGATTACAGGCACACACCACCATGCCCAGCTAAGTGTTTGTATTTTTAGTAGAGACGGGGTTTCACCATGTTGACCAGCATGGTCTCGATCTCTTGACCTCGTGATCCACCCGCCTCGGCCTCCCAAAGTGCTGGGATTACAGGCTTGAGCCACCGCGCCCAGCCTAATGTGTAGGTTTTATATTTATAAGACAATACCAGAAACCTGTTATATGTTTTTTTTTTTAAACTACAGTTACCTTATGCTGTAAAATAGGTTTCTTCTTTCACTTAAAAAAATCTTTCAGTTTAAGTTGAATTGATTTCACATATGATTTAATGCTTTGTTTCTCCTGTGTCTCATCTTTAATTTTTACTTTTAGAAATTGGTCTTATTCTATATTTTATTTTATTTTATTTGAGACAGAGTCTCCCTCTGTTACCCAGGCTGGAGTACATTGGTGTGATCATGATTCACTGTAGCCTCCACCTCCTAGGCTCAAACAATTCTCCTACCTCAGCCTCCTGAGTAGCTGGGACTAAGGTAAGTACCACCATGCCCAGCTAATTATTATTATTATTTTTTTTTGTAGAGTTGGGGGTCTCACCATCTTGCCTAGGCTAGTCTCAAACTCCTGGTTTCAAGCAATCCTCCTGCCGTGGCCTCCCAAAGTGGTGGGATTACTGGCGTTTGCCACCATGCCTGGCCCAGCTTTATTCTTTGTGTTTTTGATTTTTATTTCGTGGTGAAAAATTGGGACATACAGATAAAGGAGAAAACAAAAACTGCCCAGAGGTGACAACTCTTAAAATTTTAGTGTACATCTTTTCAAAGAGAGGTCTGTCTAGTGTGCCTCACATGACATCTACTTAGGTGCACAAATGGGTCTCTCAAAGGTCGGTGTTCTACCTGCTTACAGCACAAAGTCAGGTCTTTTCCTGGCACGATCCTCCTGAATTATTGTCAGTAGAGATCTCTAGCTGGGAGGGGCTGCTTGCATTGCTGCCTATAGCCCTGTATTTCTTTCACTTTAGAATCTCCTGCCCTTGGCTTCCTTCTGCATGATTGACAGTGTTGTATTGCTGCTGCCTGGCTGAACCACGCTAATGTCCGTTAAATGGCTAGTGTCCCCACAACCCATGTCCGCACCTGCCTATGGTGCAACTGAATTCCTGTGGAGTACTATCTTTGGTCTTTTCCCTCTCTGGTCATCAGGGAAACCTGTTTTTGTTTTTGTTTTTTTTAATAGACAAGTTTTTGAGAAGGATTTCGATAGCAGAACCACTGGGGCCCTGATGACAGAGTTATCCTCTGTTTTACAGCCAGTTTCTTCCCAGAATTTATAGGCAGTTTGAGGTGGATGAGTGCTTGGATATTGGAGAGGGGAGGTGTTAGGGGGCCAGGGAGTGGAGAAGCACAGTCTTTTGCAGTTCCCGGCATCCCTGTGGAGGTGGCCAGGACTGGTGGATTTATTTTTCCTTAAGAAGGGACTGACATCTTGTCTAATATGAGTGTAAGCTTTTCAAGGGGAATTCCTGGCACTTAGTACAGTGTGTGGTACAGAGTAGGCCTCCATAATTATTTGTTGCATATGTAAAGAACTAAGTACCTTGAACAAATCAGAAAAGTATGATACAGTTCACTAAGTTGCTTTTTCTCTGATATATGGTTTTAAAGAATATATAGTCATAATTGGTATAGCCTAGTTTGAGAGATAAGAAATATAAATGGAGGGTGAGGGTGAAAAAAATACAAATAGAGAGATCAGCTGAGAAGTGAAAATAATAAGTGCTGTGGGAACTCTGAGGATGGAAAGCTTGTTGGAATGTCTCACCCTTGTCTCCTTTGTAAAGCTGATTGGTATTGTCATTGAGGTTGGGAATGATTCAGACAGGTAAGGCAGAGAAGTGAGGGAATGGGGGCTTGCCAGGTCCAACACGAAGCGGAGGGAAGCGTTAACACAGCTGAGCTATTCTGAGATACTCTGAACCATGATTTTCTGCATGATTTTCTGTACCCTTTCTGCCTTTATTTCTGTGTCCTTCCCTCCATGGAAAGCCTCTCTGGGGACAGAATACTAGGACATTTTCTGTTTACTTATCTCAAAATAGCAAGTGGAAAGAGCATTTGAAGTTGTTGCATGAGAGAACACTTAGGCGTGGCTGACTCTGAAATTCCTCTGCCTCTGGCAGATATGATGAAGGCTTTTGGGATCCTGTTACCTATTTTTCAAGGTTGATTTTTCTACCCTCAATCTTCCAGGCAGATGTGAGTCCTCCTGTGCCTTATTACTTAGCTGAGGGAGCATCAGGACCATATAGGTGGTGGGAGAGAGCTGGAAACCCAAAGAATGTGTCCTATCTCCTACCATACTTAGGATTGGTGCTCCTTGTTTTCCAGAGAATGTCGGGGTGCTTTGCACTGTATCCCAGAGCTCTTCATGAAAACACAGTTTCCTCTTCATGTTCTTTAAGTGTAATTAATATAGCAGTGTTATATAACTTAAACTAAAGGGGAAGGGAAGTGATATTATTTACTGACATTTCTGTAGAAATTTAAGTTACTTTTATTTCACAGTTTCTGAGTTTGAAGACATACTTCCTTGATTCTCAACAGTCAAAACCTAAATAGGCAATAGGGAAACTTTTATTGTATTTACATAGAAGCCTGCACTGGGAAAGGAGACGTTGTGGAGATTGTCTGGAAATGAAAAGACATTGCTGTGCTCTGGCCCTTTGCTTTCTCCTTGTGACTTTGAGCCTTAGATAAGGTTAAGGAAGAGGAAATGTGATGTTTTTCCTCTCACCCCACTCTAGGCCATTGCAGTTGGTCATGTTCTCTCATCTCCCCTCTTTGAAGGAGTTCTTCGAAGAAAAATGTGCTGCTTGAATCAACTGCAGTCTCTCCGCTACGTAAGAGCTCTTAAGGGTACTAGCAGAATAGAAGCAAATGAAACTGAAAGCTCATCTGCCGCTGAGAAAAACAAAGACATGGAATTTTAAAGAGTGAAGGTAGCCTGGTGTCGGCCATGGGTGATCAAGACACAGCCAGACAATGTGGACCAATTTCTTCAAACTACGGCTTTTCTGCTGTCTGCTTGCTGTGTTGATGGTGGTGGTGCTGGTCATCAATGTTACTCAGGTAGAGGTAAGTACCCAGTATAATCCCTCATAACTAAGGAAGCCCAGTCTGGGGACTTGGGCCTAACCAGCCTGGGAAAATGTTGGTTATCAGAAGCTTATCCTAGTTACAGTTCTTGTTTTCATTTATTCAATAAGTATTTAAGTACCTACAATGGTTATATACTGGGCTAGTCACTGAGGGTATAGTGAAGCCATTTCTTCACTTACGGGCCTTCAATTCTAGAACTCACATTGTCAGTGTGCATGGAAGAAAATAATAAGTAATAATCACATAATAATCATAGTGATGGCCAGGCACAGTGGCCTGTAATCCCAGCACTTTGGGAGGCTGAGGCGGGTGGATCATGAGGTCAAGATATCAAGACCATCGTGGCCAACATAGTGAAAACCCGTCTCTACTAAAAATACAAAAATTAGTTGGGCCTGGTGGCGTATGCTTGTAGTCCCAGCTACTCAGGAGGCTTAAGCAAGAGAATTGCTTAAACCCAGGAAGCAGAGGTTGCGTTGAGCCTGGATTGCGCCACTGCACTCCAGCCTGGGTGATGGAGTGAGACTCTGTCTTAAAAAAAAAAAAGTAATGATAAATGGAGATTGTGAAAAGTACAATAAGGAAAGAGAGCTATTCTAGGACAGCTTTAGAGTGATGAAGGAAAAGCCTCTTCAAGGAGGGCACCTTTTAGTCGACACATGGAAAAAAGCTGAAGGAGTATTTCAAGGGAGGGAGAGGATGGATCTGTTTTGAAGATTGCTAGATGGCACTTAGGGGTGGGGACCATGTCTTACTGAATCCCTCACAAGGGCCTGGCACTGAGAAGGGTCTTAGTAGTGCTCCACCTTCCTTGCCCCCAGACGCAGCATGAACTCATATAACCAAAACTTATGGAGGAGTTCTGGGTAAAAGCATGCTTTCCTTTTGTTTTGTTGGCTTGTGGTACTTCTCAGATTACATATCCAACTTAATTATGGCATTTCTTTTCTTATTAGGAGTAGCATAAGATTCTCTAAAAGCTAAGCCATAGGCTTTAAAAAATATTTCTCCTGCTGGAACCAACTTTGTGGTTTTTAGCAGAACACCTAGTCTCACTATGAAATGGGCACACTAAGGTCCTACAGGTCGTTTTATATGCATATGCAATGAGTAAAACTTGTTAGGTACTTTGGAGAATGTGAAGTAATTCTGTTAAAGACTTCCTATTGGAAATAGCTTAAGGCATAAAAGATAGGTATTTCTTTTTGTTTTTCTTTGCTTAAACTGTTCTTGCATGTTTTACTATATAAGGTAGTAACCAATTCTACATCAGTAGTTCTTTTACCTGGTAGCTGTTGATGATGTGTCTAGGTATTTTAGAAACTCCTTAAAAAATTTTTTTTTGTGATAAATATGCATAACAGAATTTGTAATTTTAACCACTTTTAAGTGTACAATTGAGTAGCATTGAGTACATTTATATTGTTGTGCAACCACCTCCACCATCTATGTCTAGAACTTTTTCATCTTCGCAAACTGCAACTCTTTACCCATTAAACAGTGATTACCTAGGCCAGGCACAGTGGCTCATGCCTGTAATACCAGCACTTTGGGAGGCTGAGGCAGGAGGATCACTTTAGGTCATGAATTCAAAACCAGCCTGGTCAAGGTGGTGAAAGCCTGTCTCTACTAAAAATACAAAAATTAGCTGAGCATGGTAGTGCACGCCTGTAATCCCAGCTGTTCGGGAAGCTGAATCATGAGAATTGCTTGGACCTGGGAGGCAGAGGTTGTGGTGAGCTGAGATTGAACCACTGCACTCCAGCTTGGGTGACAGAGAGAGACTGTCTCAAAACAAAAACAAAAACAAAAACCCAATGTCAAGAAAAAACAATGATTACCCATTCCTCCCTATCCGCTGCTCCTTGGCATATACTGTTCTTTCTGTCTCTTTGAACTCAATGACGCTAAGTACCTCATATAAGTGGAATCATATGGTATTTGTCTTTTTTTTGAGACATAGTGTCGCTCTGTTGCCCAGGCTGGAGTACAGTGGCATGATCTTGGCTCACTGCAACCTCTGCCTCCTGGATTCAAGTGATTCTCATACCTCAGCCTTCCAAGTAGCTGGGATTATAGGCATGTGCCACCATGCCCAGCTAATTGTTGTATTTTTAGTAGAGATGGGGTTATGCCGTGTTGACCAGGCTGGTCTTGAATTCCTGGCCTCAAGCAATTCGCCTATCTTGGCCTTCCAAAGTGTTGGGATCAGAGGTATGAGCCACCAAGCCTGGCCTGGTATTTGTCTTTTTGTGATTGGCTTATTTCTGTTAGCATAATGTCCCCAAGGTTTACTTATGTAGCGTGTATCAGAATTTCTTTTATTTTTAAGGCTGAGTAATACTTCTCCTGTCTACACATAGATGGAGGAATACTATTCAACCTTACAAAGGAAGGCGATGCATGCTACAATGTGTACATACATACCACATTTTGTTTATCTGTTCATCTGTTGTTAGACGTTTGGGTTGTTTCTACCTATTGGCTATTGTGAATAACAACTATTTCTTCAAGACTCTGCTTTTAATTCTTTGGGATATGTACCCACAAATGGAATTGCTGGATCATATGGTAATTTTAATTTTTTGAGGAACCACCATACTGTTTTCCATAATAGCTGCATTATTTATTTATTTTTTTCCAGGAACATGTGCACTTTATTGAACACAACTGTGGAAAAGTGTGTGAGGGGTAAAGGGCTGATACAGGATCGTCTGGGGGCAGGGCGAGGAATGGAAGCTGGAGTACCTGGGAGACAGGTCACGGGCAGAGCCCCTGGCTGGGATGATTCCTCTGATCTACTGATAGGCTTGCAGAATCAGTATTGGGATGATGATCAGCAGATTGGTCGTGATGATGCCCAAAATCAGGGCCCAGATGTTCAGGCACTTGGCGGTGGAAGCGTAGGCCTGGGCCCCGGTCAGGTCGCCAACCATCTTCTTGTCCCTAGACTTCACGGAGTAGGCGAACGCTATGAAGCCCAGGCAGCAGGAGTTCACGAAGAGGGTGTTGAACAGGGACCAGACGACGTGGTCGGGCACGGAGGTCTCGCTTCGGATGTGGATCACGGTGGATGTCGGGGGCACAGGGTTGTGGGGCGCCCCCAGCGCAGCCACCTCATGTTCCTCCTTCAGCATCTCATAGTTCGGGGGACGGCTGGTGCTGGCGGGAGTGAAGAAGCTTTGGACGGTGTGGTTCATGGTGTCCAGGGAAGACGGGCTGTGGTTGGGTAGCTGGGATGCTCAGCTGCATTATTTTTTATCCTCATCAGCAGTACACAAGGGTTCCAGTTTCTTTGCGTCCTCGCCAGTACTTGTTACTTCTTTTGTAGTAGCCTTCTTCATGGGTGTAAGATCCCGTAGTTTTAATTTGTATTGCCATAATGATTAATAAATGATGTTCAGGCATCTCTCTATGTGCTTTTGGAGCAATATCTATTCAATTCCTGTACCCATTGTTTAATGGAGTTCTTTGTTTTTTATTGTTGTTGAGTTGTAGGAGTTCTTTATATATTCTGGATATTCACTCCTTATCTCCTGATCAGTCTGACCAGAGGTTTGTGTTTTATTGATCTTTTTGAAGAATCAGCTTTTGGTTTCATTATTTTTCTGTATTTTTTCTGTTTCCTGTTGGGTCAATTTCCATTCTGATCTTTATTGTTTCCCTTCTTCTGTTTCCTTTGGATTTAAATGTCTCTTTCTAGTTTCTTAAAGTGGTAGCTAAAGTCGTTGTTTTGAGATCTTTCTTCTCTAATTAAATGTTTAATGCTATAAATTTTCTTCTATGAGACTGGGTGTGGTGGCTTATGCCTGTAATCCTGGCACTTTGGGAGAGTGAGATGGGAGGATCATTTGCGGCCAGAAATTTGAGACCACCCTGGGCAACATAGTGAGACCCCAGTCGCTACAAAAAATTTTTAAAAATTAACTAGGTATAATGGTGTGTGCCTATAATCCTAGCTGCTTGGGAAGCTGAGACAGGATAATCCCATGAGCCCTGGAGTTTAAGATTATGGTTAGCTATGATCATATCACTGCACTTCAGCTTGGGCAACAGAGTGAGACCCTGTCTCTAAAAAATAATAAAAAAATTTATTTCTATATACTGCTCTAGTGTATACCACACATTTAGATATGGTTTCTTCTCATTTTCATTTTCGTTCAGCTGAACTACATTCTAATTTTCGTTTTTCTTTTCTTTAACCCATGTGTTATTTAAGTTTTCTTTTTTTTTTTTTAGACAAGTTTTCACTCTGTCACCCAGGCTGGAGTGCAGTGGCATGCTCATGGCTCACTGCAGCTACAGGCTTTGGGCTCAAGTGATCTTCCCACCTCACCCTCCCAAGTAACTGGGACTACAGGTGTCTGCCACCATACCCAGCTGATTTTTTATGTTTTTGCAGAGATGGGGTCTCGCTCTGTGGTCCAGCTTGTCTCAAACTTCTAGACTCAAGCAATCTTCCTGCCTAAGCCTCCCAAAGTGCTGCAATTACAGGTGTGAGTCACTACATCCAGCCCCATGTATTATTCAGAAGTGTTATTTAACTTTCAAATATTTGGATATTTTGCAAATACCTTTCTGTTATTGATTCCTGATTTAGTTCCCCTGAGAACATACTTGGTATGACTTGAATTCTTTTGAAACATTATTGAGATTTGTTTATGGCACAGAATATGGTCTACTTTGGTATATAGTCTATGTGTACTGGAAAGGAATGCATTCTACTATTACTGTATAGAGTATTCTATATATATCAGTTAGATCCACATGGTTCATGGTGTTGGTCGTCTTCTGTGTATCCTTACTATTTTCTGCTCTGTCAGTTATTGAAAGGAGAATATTGAAATCTCTGACTATAATTGTGAATATGTCTATTTCACCTTGCATTTCTATCAGTTTTCACTTCATGTGTTGTGAAGTTCTGTTCTTAGGTACTGAATATTTAGAATTGTTATGTCCTCTTGATGAATTCAGTTGCTTTATCATCACAAATTGGCGTTCTTCATCCTTGGTAAAATTCTTTGCTCTGAAATGTACTGTGTATGATATTATATAACCACTCTAGCTTTCCTTTGTTTGCTGTTAGCAAGTATATCTTTTTCCATCATTTTGGCATTATTTTTTATTGTTTTTGAGACAGAGTAATGCTCTGTTGCCCAGGCTGGAATGCAGTGGCACAATCATGACTCACCACAGCCTTTGTCTCCCATGCTCAAGCAGTCCTTCCCACGCAGCCCTTCCCACTCAGCCTCCTGAGTAGCTGGGACTACAGGTGTGTGCCACTGTGCCTGGCTAATTTTTTGTATTTTCTTTTTAGATACGGGTTTTGCCATGTTGCCCAGGCTGGTCTTGAACTCTTGGGCTCAAGTGATCCTGCTGCCTTAGCCTTCCAAAGTGCTTGGATTACAGGTTGAGTCACCACATCCAGCCAGTTTACTATTTTTTAAACCTATTTGTATTTTTATATTTATTTATTTATTGTATTTTTAAAAACTTTTATTTTAGGTTTGAGGGTACATGTGAAGGTTTGTTACATAGGAGGCATATGTCACAGGGGTTTGTGTACATATTGTTTCATAACCTAGGTATTAAGCCTGGTACCCTCTCTGCTTCTCTCCCTCCCCCCACTCTTCCCCCTCAAGTAAACCCCTGTTGTTTCTTTGTGTTCATAAGTTCTTACCATTTAGTTCCCAGTTATAAGTGAGAACATGCAGTATTTGGTTTTCTGTTCCTGTGTTAGTTTGCTAAGGATAATAGCCTCCAACTCCATTCATGTTCCCACAAAAAAAACATGATCTTGTTCTTTCTTATGGCAGTATAGTATTCCATGCTATATATGTAATATAAGATTTTCTATTTCATATGGAATATAAGATTTTCATTATCCAATCTGTTATTGATAGGCATTTAGGTTGATTCCATGTCTTTGCCGTTGTGAGTAGTGCTGCAGTGAACATTCACATACATATGTCTTTCTGGTGGAATGATTTATATTCCACTGGGTATATACCCAGTAATAAGATTGCTGGGTGGAATGGTAGTTCTGTTTTTAGGTCTTTGAGGAAATGCCATACTGCTTTCCACAATGGTTGAACTAATTTACACTCCCACCAACTGTGTATATGTGTTCCCTTTCCTCTTCAACCTTGCCAGCATCTGTTACTTTTTCACTTTTTAATAATAGCTATTCTGACTGGTGTGAGATCTCACTGTGGTTTTGATTTGTATTTCTCTAATGATCAGTGATGTTGACCTTTTTTTAAATATGCTCTTTGGCTGTATGTATGTCTTCTTTTGAGAAGTTTCTGTTCATGTCCTTTGCCCACTTTTTAATGTTTTTTTTTTCTCTTGTAAATTTGTTTAAGTTCCTTACAGATGCCGGAATTAGACCTTTGTCAGATGCATAGTTTGCAAATATTTTCTCCCATTATGCAGGTTTTCTGTTTACTTTGTTGATATTTCCTTTTGCTGTGTATAAGCTCTTAAATTTAATTAGATCCTACTTGTCAATTTCTGCTTTTGTTACAATTGCTTTTGGTGTCTCTGTCATGAAATCTTTGCCCATTTGTCCAAGATGGTATTGCCTAGGTTGTCTTCTAGTGTTTTTACAGTTTTGGATTTTACATTTAAATTTTTAATCCATCTTGAGTTGATTTTTGTATATAGTGGAAGGAAGGAGTCAGTTTCAATGTTTTGCATATGACTAGTCAATTATTCCAGTACCAGTATAATTTTCCTCATTGCCTGTTTTTGTCAGCTTTCTTGAAGATCAGAAGATGCTTGTAGATGTGTGGCCTTATTTCTGGATTCTCTCTTCTGTTTTGTTGGTCTCTGTGCCTGTTTTTGTACCAGTACCATGCTCTTTTGGTTACTGTAGCCTTGTAGTATAATTTGAAGTTGGGTAACATGATGACTTTAGCTTTGTTCTTTTTTGCTTAGGATTGCCTTGGCTATTCAGACTCTTTTTGGCTCCATATACATTTAAAAATAGCTTTTTCTGGTTTTGTGAAGAATGTTGTCGATAGTTTGATAGGAATAGCATTGAATCTGTAAATTGCTTTGGGTAGTGTAGCCATTTTAATGATATTGATTCTTTTTATCCATGAGCATGGAATGTTTTTCCATTTGTGTCTTCTCTGATTTCGTTGAGCAGTGTTTTGTAATTCTCATTTTAGAGCTCTTTTACCTCCCTTGTTAGCTGTATTCATGACGATTTTATTCTTTTTGTGGCAACTGTGAATGGGATTGCCTTTCCGATTTGGCTCTTGGTTTGGCTATTGTTGATGTATAGGAATGCTAATGATTTTTGTACATTGTTTTTGTATTATGAAATTTTGCTGAAGTTTTTTTTTTTTTTTTTTTTTAGGGAGGAAGGCAGGAAGGGAGGGAAGAAGGGGGGAGGGAGGGAGGGAAGGAGGGAGGGAAGGGAAGGAAGGAAATCAAGCAATGAGAGAGACATTGCCGACCTGTATCTAAAGGTTTACAAGTTGATTTCTTTTTTTTTGAGAGAAGGAAAGAAAAAAAAATAAGTAAAGGAAAGGAAGAAAGAGGAAGAGAAAGAGGGAGAGTAAACGGAAATATTGCTTTATTCTGAAAAAAATTGGGTATTAATAATGACCAATCAATGTTTCATTTAAACTTATGAGTAGGTGTGATGTGGTATTGACAAGAATGTATATTTTGTGTATTTGAAGCGGGGAGCTCTATAAATATTTATTAAGTTTACTTGTTCCGGATCTGAGTTCGAGTCCTTGATATCCTTAATAATTTTCTGTCTCATTGAGTCTAAGTCTCTATGTATCTGGGTGTTAGGATCGTTAGTTCTTGTTGTTGCATTGATCCTTTTACCACTATATCTTTGTTGCTTTAAAATCTATTTTATCCGATACGAGAATTGCAACTCCTGCTTTTTATTTATTTATTTATTTATTTTTGCTCTCCATTTGGTTGGTAAATCTTTCTCCATCCCTTTGTTTTGAGTCTTTGTGTATCCTTGCATGTGAAACAGGTCTGGATGTAACATGCCATTGGGTTTTGGCTGTGTCTTTTGATTGGGGGATTTAGTCGATTTAAATTTAGGGTTACTGCCATTTGATGTTAACTGGCTGTTTTATCCATTCGTTGGTATAAATTCTTCTTTATGTTGGTGCTCTTTACTTTTTGGTATATTTTTAGAAAAGCTAATACTGGTTGTTTCTTTCTGTGTGTAATGCTTCTTTCAGAAGCTCTTGTAAAGCAGGCCTGGTGGTAATAAAATCTCTGAGTTCTTGCTTGTTCATAAAAGATTTTATTTTTCCTTCAGTTGTGAAGTTTAGTTTGGCTGGATATGAAATTCTGGCCTGAAGGTTCTGTTCTTTGAGGATGTTGAATATTGGCCCCCACTCTCTTCTGGCCTGTAGAGTTTCTGCTGAGAGATCTGCTGTAAGTCTGATAGGCTTGCCTTTGTGGGTAACCTGACCTTTCTCTCTGGCTGCCCTTAGTATTTTCTCCTTTGTTTCAACCCTGGTGAATCTAACAATTATGTGCCTTGGGGTTCCTCTTCTTGAGGAATATCTTTGTGGTGTTCTCTGTATTACCTGGGGTTGAATATTGACCTGCTTTGCTAGTTTAGGAAAATTTTCCTGAATAATATCCTGAAGGGTATTTTCCAGCTTGGATTCATTCTCTCCGTCGCATTCAGGTACACCTATCAAACGTAAATTTGGTCTTTTCACATAGTCCCACATTTCTTGGAGACTTTGCTCATTCCTTTTTAATCCTTTTTTCTCTAATCTTTTCTTCACGTTTTATTTCATTAAGTTGGACTTTGACCTCTGATATCCCTTCTTCTGCTTGAACAATTCGAGTGTTTAAACCTGTGCATACTTCTCGGAGTTCCTGTATTGTATTCTTCAGTTCCATTAATTCACTCATACTCCTCTCTAAGTTGTCTATTCTCAATAGGATTTAATCAAACCTCTTTTCAAAGTTCCTAGTTTCTTTACGTTGGGCTACAACATGTTCTTTTAACTCACCAAAGTTTGTTATTATCCATTCCTTGAAGAGTACTTCTGTCATCGGGATGCGCTCGTTCTCCATCAAGCCTTGTTCCATTGTTGATGTGGAACTGTGATCATCTTTAGAGGGAGAGGCGTTCTGACTTTGAGTATTCTCAGCTTTTTTACGCTGGTTTCTTCCCATCATTGTAAATTTATCCTCCTGTCGTCTTTGAATTTACCAACTTTCAGATTAGGTCTCTTGAGTGGACGTCCAGGTTGTTAGTTCCCAGGGCCAGAGCAGTGGCGTTAAAACTGATGGTGCTTTTTTTCCTAGGATTCTCCTGTCCGGCTTCCTTCTTGTGTTCGTAGTAGGCAACTCTGCCTTCTCGGGGCTCCAAACCTCGGTCAGAAGGGGAACCGGTCCCGTTTACTCTGCGCTGAGCGCTGCCGCGCCTAGGTGCCGTCACAGCCGCTGCGCGGGGCTCTGGTGTTGTGCTGGGGGCCCTTGTGGGTCCT